TTTGAAGCATTTTTGAAGGAATTATGTGATTTTCGCAATTTCTAGTATCTCCGAAAAACATTTACATACATTCAAGACCAAAATCAACCACCGAAAATGGCGCAACTGTCCATTTAACATGTTTCGAAATTGCATTAGACCAATCAAGTTAACACCTCATTGCTCACAGTAACGAGTCATGTCATAATCGGGATATTAATATACCTGAAACTGTGTTATCTAGAAAACAAGCTACGAATCCTGCCACAAATACACCATTGGCTGCTAACATAGTAAGAGTTCTGTCTAATCCTTCAATACCTAGAAAAGCGTATTAGAATATAAACATAAAATTGTGCATAAAAAGAGTCTTTCACAAATATAATTTACTATATTCGTTATGTAGCTCAATTACCTAATGAAATAGTACTAATACTTTACTACACGTAAGAGATAAGAAATATCTTGGGGGAGGCAGAAAGTGAGAAAGAATCACCTCTTAATGGCCGCAGATTATCATTTTCGTGGTATATTTACTCGGCCTTCGCCTAAATGATAATGATTGAGAGTAGCTTGGTGCAATACGTCACATATCGCGCAGAATTGAAAATATCGTAAAGCGATCAATTGAATAAAGCCACAAATTTTCTTTCATTGAAAAACCTCAACCAAATTCTTACCGGTATTTAAGCCATCGGGTCGTTTTTCCACCCAGTGAGGTAGCATGAATCCCACTAACACACTGATTCCTAATATAGCAAGATTTCTCGTGTCATTTAAATTCACAAACTGTAACTGTGACAAAATAACTCCAAAAAATATTCCATAATATAGTATCATAGTTCCTCCAAGGACACTATAGGGAATGGTGATAAACGCAGCATTCAACTTTCCTAATACAGCAAACAATACATAGATCACCCCACATCCTTGTAGTATCAGCCGACTGGCAGCCTGAAATGTCACCAAAAAAAATCCCAATATAAATTTTTGCTATTCATAATAATAATTTAGATGAGAACTGTAACACCTTAGCGCTCTGCAACATATTACGGCAACGAATGGCAGTCATAGTTTGCCGGAACTATGTCAATATTGTCACATGATCATGTGATCCTTGTAGATCTAATATCAGAGGCTGGTCGTTCAAGACTACAGTATTTGTACACAAAGACATATATCGAGATATCTGAGAGGAAATAGACGGAATCCTGTTCAGTGGGAAGTTTCAAAATTTAGCTGTCTTTATTGCAAACTTATGCTTACATGTTACATGGATATGGGAAAAAAATCTCATTTCTCGCGTCTGTTCTAGCATAATACTTCGTACTGTTAGGATCAGACGATAATACTCCAGTGTAGGTCAATATTACACTCAAGATCCAACCAAATATAACTGACATCAAAATCTGGAAATGGAATAACATAATGATAGCTACTACAATAAAATTTGCATGGACCCCATTAATTGTACAATATAAATCTCTTTTTGTCCTTAAAGGTAAATATTACCAAATGTAAATAAGCCTTAAATGTACCAGTATGCTATGAGGACGAACGATATGCTTCCTTTGTTATGATCTATGGCTCAGCAACCATAATACTGAACTGAGTCCTCAGGTCCCCGCTTGTCATCGTATCGCGAATACAGGTTTTGACGAGGAAGTATGACGAATGTTGGTGCGGTTTGGACACGATGCCTGCTTGAAACACCC